GGGCCTCGGCTGAGGGAGGCCAGACTTCTACACCCAGACCAAGAGCCTTCGGAGCCTAAGTGGTTGCTTCTTTGTGACAAGGCGTCTGCCACCGCTCCAGCCACTGAGTCCTCTCTCCAGACAAGAAGATGGGGAGAGGGCCAAGCCCTTTTGTCTGAAAGGACAGGTCTCTTCAGGGACTTTTTTGTGCCTCACTGGCCAGGACTAAGTCACGTGGGCAACCCTAGAGGCCGGGAGGCTGGAAAGTCACGCTCTGAGAGAGTGGAACTGGGTGTTCTTGCAAACAATAAGCAGTGGTCTGCAGAAAGGCGGGGCCTGCCCAGCCGGCGTCGCCCTCCCGTGTGCACCCTTCCTCGGGTGGGTGCGCAGCTGCCCCTCGCCCTCGGTGAGGAAGCAGCGGGGGGCTCTGGGGGCCCCACTGCCAGTCGCACAGCGGCCCCAGGGCAGCACCGGAGGTAACTGGCAGCTCCCCTGGGGCGGGAGAGCCGCGTCTCCCGGGCAACGCTCACCTCTGGCTCCCGGAGACCTCGGCCGCCTGGCGTGGGTGGGAAGGTACACAGCTGAGCTCTGCCGCTTTGTCCTTGGCCAGGGGCCAGGCCTGTGCCTCCAGGAGCAGCCTCCCTCCTCGGCAGCTCCCCCGCCTTTGGCCGTGGCCTCCAAGGCCGCGCTGCGGCAGGTGCATCCGAATCCCAACCCTCCTCTGTCTCACGTCGCCGTGGGGACCCACAGGGACCGGGAGCACCCTGTGCGCACCTGGCCGCCGGCCGTCCCTGCGGGTCCTCGCACCCTCACCCCCAGCCACGGGTGTGCATTTGAAATCTGGCTGGTGCGACGGACGACCGAGTTCGTCTTATTTCATTTTAATTGATTGGCACTCAGAGGCTGCCATCCTGAGCAGGGCAGCTGTAGGCTGGGGCGCTGGGCCTCTCTGTCCCTTGTGGAGGAAAGACACATTCTTCCAGAGTCGTCAAGAGTGGGTGCCTCCAAGGACACTAGCCTGAAGGCCCAGAGAGGGGCAGCGGCTCGCCCGAGGTCACACAGCAAGGCAGAAGCTCAGGGCTTCCTGGTTCTGCCGACTGCGTGGTGGTTGGCCTGCTGGGCGTCCACGTGGTCGTTGCTGCTCATTGTGGTTTATGCTCCTTGTCCCCATTTCACAGGTGAGGCGGCTGAGGCCCAGGGAGCAAACGCGCCTGCCTTGGGTCTTGGCGCGTCCTCGGGCTTCCTGTGACTGCAGAGCCGGGATTCTGTCTGCTCCTGGAAGGGCCTGGGCCCGGTGATCAGGGCTCCCCCCCTCCCCAGCGGGGCCGGTGCGGCGCGGAAGCTTAGGGAAGGCCCTCTCTCTCCGTGGAAGCGTCTTTCTGGCCCGGCCTCCTAGGATTTGGTTCCCGCAGGTGCCGCACCTGGCGCCCTGCCCTCACAGCTCCCGTGTTTTGCTCAGATCCCTGCTGTGGGGGAGGGGTACGCGCCCTGGGTGTCAGGTACACCTGTTGGGAAGGTGAGTGCGGGAAAAAGCCTGCCTTTGCCACTGTTGGCCAGGGAGGGCCTGTGGCAGGAGCCCCGCCTTCCTCTCTGCCCACCTCCAAGTTCAAGGCAAGAAGACTGAGGCCCCCCCCCCCCCCCGGCCACCTCAGGATTGCCTCGTTCCAGAATGCTGTGGGATGGGAGTGGTTTAGGGAATAAATTCCAATTTCAGACCAATCCACCAGGAATGAGTCAGTTTTCAGTGTGTTTCCCATGCCACGTTCAGGACACACTCATCCCCTAAGTGACCGCTGTCCATCAGACGTTCAAGTTTAACTCCGCATCGGGGAAAGCAGTGGAAGATGCCCCAGTCCTTGGGCCCCTACACCCGCGTGGGAGACCTGGAGGAAGCTCCTGGCTCCCGGCTTCGGATCGGCACAGCTCCAACTGTTGCGGCCAATTGGGGAGTGAACCAGCCGATGGAAGACTCTCTCTCCCTCTCTCTCTCTCTCTCTCTCTGCCTCTCCTTTTCTCTGTGTGTAACTCTGACTTTCAAATAAAGATTTTATTTATTTATTTGAGAGGTAGAGTTGCAGACAGTGAGAGGGAGAGACAGAGAGGTCTTCCGTCCGCTGGTTCACTCCCCAGATGGCTGCAGTGGCCGGAGCTGGGGGCAGGACAAAGCCAGGAGCTCCATTCAGATCCGACGCGGGTGCAGGGCCCGAGGACCTGGACCATCTTCCACTGCTTTCCCAGGCCGCAGCAGAGAGCTGGATCGGAAGAGGAGCAGCCAGGACTCGAACCAGCACTCACGGGGGATGCCGGTGGTGCAGGTGGAGGCTTGGCCCAGTGTGCCACAGCTCTGGCCGGGCTGAGGCCTTTTAGAATCAGGCCTCTCCAGCTCGCTCCTGCTCCGAGCACTGCCCATGTGCTGGTGGCTCGGGGCCAGCTTCGCAGCCCCCTGACCTCACGCTGCCCTCCCGTGCTCCCCGCGGCAGCCCCTCCGTGGGCAGCCCGCCCCGTGCACCTCCCCTCTGCAGGTTCTTAAGGCCAAAGCAGCTCCCTTCTCCCCCGCGGGAGCCCCTGCACGGGCTGGGGCGGGGACGGCCCGCCGTGTTTGTCTGGAATGAGGGCGAGCGGGGGGAGCCCCCGGAGCTCATCTGCTTTGACGTGTGGCTCAGGGGGCCTGGCTGTGGCTGAGCCCCCCTGCCCCTGCGTCCAGCAGTGGAGAGCTGCCCTGCACACGCCCTGCCTCCCAGGCTCAGGGCTTGGGGGTCTTTCCGATAGGTGGCGCAGAGGGGTCTGGGTTTCACCGAGACGGGGGCGAGGCCTGTCTGCGGCACTGCCCCAGAAGTCCCCACGCCTGGAGTGGCAGCTGGCAGGGGAACGGCACCCGCCAGCGTGTGCTGGGTGGACCGAGCCACTCGCAGGTGTCCCCGAGCACGTGAGGCCGGGTGGTGCGTGCGACGGTGCAGGTGCAGGACAGAGGCCCAGGCGCTGCTCTCCGGGAGCCTGCCGTGCCGGAAGGGGCTGGGCTCGGGCTGCCTGACTGCTAGCACAGCTGGCAGGGAGGGTGCCCGCCTCTCCTCGGGCTGAGGCCGTCGGGCAGCAAGGGTCGTGCGAGGAAGGGCGGGAGCTGCCCCGCAGGCAGTGGCGCTGCACAGGCCCTGATGGGGTGGAGTCTGGTGCCTCAGGGAACTGAAGGGGGTCAGGGCCCAGAGGAGGTGTCCGATGGGCCCAGCAGTCAGCGGGTGCCCTGGGCGGGGTGGGGGCCTGGACTGGGGCCTCAGAAGAGGAGGTGGCAGGTGGACGAGGGCGCGGGCCAGAACCCTCACTTCTGTTCCTCCAGGCCCCCAGGGGGTGGGGGCGCCCCAACCCCCTGGACCTGGCCTTGCCTGGCTCAGCCTCGAGGCCAGAGGGTCCCCCAGGGGGCCCCAGGGAGGGCGAGCGGGTGCCGACGCTGGGGGGTGAGGTGCTGGAAGTGGTCCCGGCCGCCTTGCCGGTGTGCAGAGGAGGGCGCCCTCCTGGATGGCCTTGGGGCCCCGCCACCGCATGGCGTCACGCCCCATTTCCAGCCCGGGGGTCTGAGGCTTGGCCGGGGAGGGACTTGCGCGCTGTCACTTGCCTGGCCTGAGACCAGGCAGCCCCAGTGCCGTGCCAGCCACGCCCTTCTGGGACCTGCCAGGACTGTATCCCCAGGCTCCCGGGAGGATGTGCTACCCTCAGCCGCAGGGAGGCTGTTCACATGTCCAGTGTGGCCAGAGCTGCCCCTGCCTTCCCCGTCCCCCACCCTGGTGCCCTTGGTAGATTAGACAGCGGGCCAGCGGGCAGGGAGAGGGAGCCGCCGGGGGCCCAGCCTGAGTCGGGGAGCTGGTGGCAGGTGCCGCCGTGGGCATGGGGACCCGGCCCTCGTGGTCCTCTGCTGTGGCAAGTGGCTGAATGCACAGAACCAAGGATTGAGTGAGACAGAGGGAGGAGGGGCCGGGGGCACAGGGCCAAGTGGGCTACGCTTGCTCCCCGCTGCCGCATTTCCCATACAGTGGGGAGCACTGTGCAGGCAGGTGGGGCGTCCGGAGGAGGAGCTGAGCGGGTGTTCCGGGCAGAGGCACCGCTGGGGCCCCGCCGCTGGAGAGTGCGTGGCGTGGCAAAACCAGGGTGCAGGGTGGGCCGGGGAGGGAAGTGGGCATGGGCAGAGGCCAGAGCCTGGACCTGCCCGGGTGTGTGTTCCAGGAGGTCTTCGGGTGGTCTCTGAGCCGCGGGGGGTGGGGTCTGCTCTCCTAGGAGCGGGCAGGGGGGAGGTGTAGACAGCACCCCTCCTCCTGCTCGCAGGCTGCCCAGGCCGCCCTCCCCTCGGGCTCTGTGTTTGTGGTTGTCCCGGGAGCTGCGGCCTCTGGGCGTGACAGGCCCAAGATACCTCCTGAGCGGGGACTTCCCCAAGGCACTCCGTGTTTGCCTGGCCTCCATCCCGGAGGGGGCAGGGGCAGGTCTGAGTGCTGCCCGCGGCGTCGCTGCTGTCACCTCCCTCAGGCTCCGCTCTCTGGGACGGTCAGGCGTGGACGCCCGGCCTCGGAGCTTGCGGCCTGTGTGCTGTGAGCTGTGGGTTCAAGTTCTGCCTCTGCTGTCAACTGACTTTCTGGCCCGCTGGAGTTCACTTCTCCGAACCTCCCCGTCCTAATCCGTAAAACGGGCCTGTGAGGGTCCGAGTCCCGGAGGGTCCTGGGGCGTTACCTGAGCTCACGCCTGTCAAGCTTAACTCGGCTGGCTGCTGGGTTGTGGTGTGAATCCGGACTCCTCAGCCTGCCGGCCATCAGGTGGACACTGTCCGTACAGTGACATCGGCAGGGAGGCCCTGAGAGTGTGGCGCGCGGGGTGGGGGGGGGGGCCTCGTGCAGTGTACCTGGGCGGGGCTCTTGGGAAGAACTTGGCAGTGGCTGGAGTTGGGGGCAGGGGTCTTTCCATGCACGTGGCCAGGGAAGGCTCTGAAGGCGAGCCTGGAAGTGGGTGAGCGGCAGCCAGCGCCCCCGCCCTCTGACCGTGTGCCTCTCTCCCGCAGGGCTGCTGCGAGAAGAAGTGTCCCGGCTCCAGGAGGAAGTCCACCTTCTCCGGCAGATGAAGGACATGCTGGCCAAGGACCTGGAGGAGTCCCAGGGCGGCAGGGCCTCCGAAGTCCTCTCGGCCACTGAGCTCAGGGTCCAGCTGGCCCAGAAGGAGCAGGAGCTGGCCAGAGCCAAAGAAGCCTTGCAGGGTGAGTGATGAATCAGCGGGCTGAGTACTGAGTCAGCAGGCTGCGTGATGAGTCAGCAGGCTGAGTACTGAGTCAGCAAGATGTGTGATAAGTCAGCGGGCTGAGTGATGAGTCAGCAGGCTGCGTGATGAGTCAGCAGGCTGAATACTGAGTCAGCAAGATGTGTGATGAGTCAGCAGGCTGAGTGATGAGTCAGCAAGATGGGTGATGAGTCAGCAGACTGAGTACTGAGTCAGCAGGCTGCGTGATGAGTCAGCAAGATATGTGATAAGTCAGCAGGCTGCGTGATGAGTCAGCAGGCTGCGTGATGAGTCAGCAGGCTGAGTACTGAGTCAGCAAGATGTATGATGAGTCAGCAGGCTGAGTGATGAGTCAGCAAGTCGGGTGATGAGTCAGCAGGCTGAGTACTGAGTCAGCAGGCTGTGTGATGAGTCAGCAGGATGAGTACTGAGTCAGCAGGCTGAGTGATGAGTCAGCAGGCTGAGTACTGAGTCAGCAGGCTGCGGGATGAGTCAGCACCGGCCTTCTGCCCAGGGCTCCGCTTGGCAGTGGTGATTTGGTGGGGGTCTGTAGATGGACTTGGATCTCCCGGCACCTGCTCCAGCGGAGGCGGCCGTGTCCCCTGGGTGCAGCTCTCCTTCCACGTGACTGCTGTGAGTCGTCCATGGCGGTGTGAACAGCAGGTGGGCGTCGGTGCTGCGCCGGCAGCTGGGCCCTCTGTCTCCTGGCACTCCGGGGCTGCGTCTGTGGGGCAGTGTGATGCGCCAGTGTCTCTGCTCGTGACTCCTTGGTCCCATGTCACTCTCACTCACCACGGCGCCTGGCACAGGGCAGCCCCCTCCCCCCAGGAAGTCCCGCGTCCAGTGCCCGGTGGCGAGAGTTGGAAATAACACGGTGTGGGTGCCCGCGCGGTCCCTTGGTGAGACAGACCGTGGCTCCGTGGCCACTCTGGCCAAGAACTGCCAGAGGCAGGAGGAAGCCTGAGGGCCACGTGCTCAGCCTGGCTCGCCTACACTCAGCTTTGATTCTCTTGGGGAAAAAGGCACGAAACCTTGCACACTGCTTTCACCCTGCCGATTCCTAGAGCGACGAGTGATTCCTTCTGAGTGACGTCCTGAAGCCTAGCGGGTTCGTTAGTTGGGCAGATCCAAGCTGCTGTCCCCGAGGGGCCCCAAACAGCGTGGCTGGGGAGCCTGTGTCTGCCCCGCCCTGCTCCCGGTGAGCGGTTCCACAGCGCCAGGCCTCTCCCTTCCTCTGCGTCCGTGAGAGCCGGGGACAGAGCCACCCCCTCGGCCCCAAGAGTTCTCGTGGCACCGGCTCCACCACCTGGCCACGCCTGGCTGCAGGGGGCTGGGCACTGTCTTGGCTCTGACAGGGAGGATCCAGAGATCCGCTGTGTGGGGGCAGGGTGCCCTGACCAGAGGGGCCCAGCCAGTGCGCCCCGGGAAGCCGGGCAGTGGTCGCGGTGGGTGTGCTGAGACCCAGGGCGCTAGTAGCCTTTCTCAGAGTTCTCTGCAGCCACGGGTGGGCGCCCAGAGGCGGGTGGCAGCCCTGTCCTGTTGGGGGTGGTATTTCCAGTGGCCTCGATGAGACCAGGCTCTGGGCGTGGGCAGTGGTGCGCGCTGGGGCCGAGCCTGGGGAGTCTTGCCTGGCACACCTGCTTTTTCTTTGTGCAGCCGTCCGGGGGTCTAGATAGACGTGGCTGAGCCACGCTCACTCCGGCGTCGTCCAGAGACCCTGCCCCTTCTCGGGAGTCTCCTGGGAGAAGGGCGGGGCCTGGGTCTCACTGAGCTTCGCTGGCTCTGGGCCATGTCGAGCCTGGCACAGGAAGCAGCTGCCTTCCCTTACATGTGTGCCAGGGACGAGAGAAGCCAGCCTTCCAGGTCCTCGGCCAGACAAAAAACTGACCCATGTTTGCCCCGCTGTCCCCGTCAAGAGGAGCACGCTGTCCCTGTGCTCTCGGGCACGGAGGAAAAGGCAGGGGAACGTGGAGGCTCCTTTGCCCCCTGTTCTTTGGACACAGCAGCCTTGCCTCTCCAGACCTCAGTTTGCTCATCTGAGTCATGGGACAGTAGTGCAGATGCCATGGGAGCTTGTGAGAAGGAGATGAGGTAGCCAAGGAGAGGGCGCAGGTCCTGCTGTTCTGCGTCTTTCTCCCTGGTACCCCCGAGGCTCAGGGCCACACGTAGCTGAAGCGGCAGCGCCTGCCCCACTCTGTCCTCATCCCGTGCCTTTTCCTGAACTCAGCGTTTCATTCATAAATTAGGCCCAGTAAGAGGCTAACAGCAATAACCCATCATAAAAATAGAACGATGACAACCATATGCTATTGTAGAAGTTATTTAGAATTTATGAGTTGTCTGTTTCTGGAATTTCCCATTCGATATCTGTGCACTGCAGTTGGCCATAAATAACAGGAACCGCGGAAAGCGGACCGTGGGCGGGAGGGAACCGCTCGACTGTGCGGGAATCCTTCTGAGTCTGGGCTGTGAGTTCCTGTCTGTCACCAAAGCCCGCCCTCCCCCCCCCCCAAAAGACAAGAGATGCCTCTCATGGGGCTGCCCTTACGGAGGAGAGTAACTAAGGCGCCAAGGACCAGGCTGTGCCCAGGGGGAGCTTGGCTGAGCACCCGCCCTGGGCCAGGGCTTCCCCACCCCCACCCCCACCCCCACGCCCTGGTCCTGCTCGGAGCCATGGGCCCTGTCACCGATGGGGACCCTGCCTGAGGTTCAGGGCCGGCAGGCAGCTCGGCTCCGGCACAGCGCCGGGCAGCAGACACAGACTTTCCTGCTGCACCAGACGGCTCAGCTTCCCTCCGGTGTGGTCACCGGGGATGGAGTCGGGCTGGCCGTGAGAGATCGGACGCTGTCTCAGCCCGGTCACTCGTGGGATGGTGGGCTGTGACGTCAGGGCTGGGCTGGCCCAGGTCTGCCACATCCCTGCTGTGTGGCCTTTGACAGACTCCTTGGCTGCTCCGAACCACAGTTCCTTTGCACGTGGCCCCCTGGCTTCCTCCTGCCTCGGGCAATTCTTGGCCAGACTTCTTTTTCCTGTAATTAGGGTTCATGATGGCAGCTGCTGCGTGGGGTTGTTGTGAGGGTTAAATGAGATGTGGCCCCTGCCTAGGAGCCCAGGCGCGGGTGTTTGGTGATCCTCAGACAGGAGGGGCTCTGCACACATTCTCAGATCTGCTTGGGGGCGTTGGTCGCCTGATCCCATTAGGGGTGGCCCAGGCCCCTGGAGCCCCACCAAAGGCTTCTAGCACATTCCAGTGGGCGACAGGATGAGCCAGTCAGACAGACCCCAAAATCCCACGTGGGGAGCTCGGAGCCTGGTCGGTAGCTTTCTGGGGCCTGCAGATCCTCGCCGGCCGCCTCCGTTTCGCGTTTCCCCGAGAAGTGCTCATGAAAACCAGCTTCTCTCCTCTTTAATCTCTTAACAGCATGTCAAGTGTGCCCGTAACAGTAAATACTCTTCGGGAACATAATTTTAACGACCGCCTAATGTTGTAGCACGTGGAGGTGCCGTGATTTTTAGCCACTTTCCTGGTGTTGGACATTTCGCCCTGTTCTGCCGCCGTCCAGGCCATGGCTGCACCCCATCCAGCGAGCCTGTCTCGGACTTCTTCCGGCCGCGGGGCCACTTTGCGCTCTTACAAAATTGAGGACCCCAGCGAGCGTCCACCTCTGTGGTTTAATCTGTCTGTATTCACCACGTTAGAGATCAGAACGGGGAGAAAGGCCTGAGTCTTCCACAGTGTACTTACAGCAGCAGCAGCACCCCGTGCTGACGGAAGGAGGCTTAGTTCTCTGTGGACAGTGACTGCTTTCCCAGGGGAGAGCGCGCGTGGCCGCCGTCGCCGCGCAGCTGGAAAGAGGAGCAGCCTGGTCGCTGCCCAGTCACATCCTTGGGGATGTTCTTTGATATCAAATTAAAACTCACTATGCGGAAGTTTGGTTTTGTTAATTGATTAATTAATGGTTAGAGCGAGAGCGAGCGAGCACTCCCGTCCACTGGTTCCCTCTCCAAATGCCTGCACCAGCCAGGGCTGGGCCGGGCCAAATCCAAGAGCCCGGGACTGCATCCGGGTCTCCTCGAGGGGTGGCAGGGACCCAGTCGCTTGAGCTGGAATCCTGAATGAGCTCAGTTGGATCGACCAAGCGCTCCAGTGGTGGGATTTGGGCATCCCAACCCGCAGGCTACGCCCCAGGCCGGAAGCAGAGTAGCCGGGACGTGAACCAGCACTCGCCTATAGGGTGCCGGCCTTGCAAGGGGTGGCTTAACCTGCTGCGCCACGGTGCTGGCCCCAAGGTGTTTCTGAGTAACACTGCCCTTTCGTTGTTTCCTTTCCCCGTGCGTGTGTGGCGGACAGAACCTAGTGGCAAGCGCACGGCTCGCTGCCCCTGGCGCGATTTCTGCAAAGACACCAGCATTTTGTCCGCCATTGCTTCCGTACCGACGTCGACCACTGCCGCGGTCCAGAAGGCAAAGAAATAGCATCACAGTCTCCGTGCGAAGCCGGTTTTCCTCGGGGCCCCTTGGGTGGTACCGGGGGTGGCCGCAGCGGCCGCCAGCCCTTTGGTGTGAACCCCTCCCCCCCACAGAGCTTCAACTCCACTTACCCGCCCCGTGGCCCCCGGGAGGCCTCAGTCTCCCGTGGGAGAGAAGCGGGAAAGCGTACAGCCCTTCGGGGATGCTGGTGGACAGAAAGTGTCCGCGCAGGGGCGGAACCCAACGCCACCAGGAGAGCAGCACATTGGGGCTGGGAAGGCACGCCTGGTGTCCGGGCTTTGCCGTAGGGGACAGCGGGAGGTGACTGTGGTGACCCTTCAGGGCCACAGCCTCGAGCTCAGCAGCTAGAGGTTCAGGGCAGGAGTGGACGGCCTGAGCAGTGAGCGTCCCAGGCGGGCCCTGTGTCCCCCCAGGGCAGGAGCAGTGAGTGTCCCAGGCAGGCCCTGTGTCCCCCCAGGGCAGGAGCAGTGAGCGTCCCAGGCAGGCCC